CGGCCACGCCCCCGGGCCGGCTCACCCGCGCTCTTCTTCTCCACCCTGCGCATGCGCTTGAGCCGCTTGAGCATGCCGCGCAGGTCGGTGATGCCGTACTGGAAGGCGATCTTCTCGTACTCGTTGGGGTTGGCGTTTTTCAGCAGCTCCCACACGTCTATCTCGGGCTCTTCCTCCTGCTGCTTCACCTCCCTGACCGGGGAGAACCATGGCCTAGTTTAGCGGCTGCCCACTGGGCCTGACCGCCAGGAAGGTAGGGCCCGGGTTTTCGGTCAGTGCTGCAAGCTCTGCTTAGGATCTGGGTACTTAAAAAGGCCGGAAGCCTCAGGGAGGCTTCCCGATAAAGATCAGGTATGAGCACTTGCATTAACACTCCCCTTTTCCTAGTGACAAGCACATTAGGGGGACCCGAGGCCGTCAGGAAATAGCCTGAAGATATTTTTACTTACTTTCAACTTGAAAGTCCAGAAGGTGGGATTTGAGGAACTTAAGCTCAGTTTTCACTAGGATATGGTGGTCGAACAATTGTGAAAAGTAGATTGGGAGCTGGAAGTTTTAAATAGGGGCCTATGAAAGAAAAAGGCTCCCTACCTTCGCTGCTGTACGCACCTTACCTACCTATCTATACACGGAGACAGTTCACATACAGTACACACGCCTTTGGATTTTGCAAATAGCATGTTTCTTACCATATTAGTAAATGTGTACATGAACCATTTTTGATGTTTTTTTCAATGCAAAAAATATTTGGAACTGTCACGAAGGGTTTTTTTGATTGCTTTGTTTTTCAAATGATTTTTGGGGATGCGTATGCTTTTTAAAAGAATTTTTGTTTCCCCTAAATTGTCAGGGGAAGAGAGGAATGACGCCAAACATGTTTTCAATTTGAAGTACTGTCTTGAAAATTTTAGGACAGGCTTGGTATGAGCCATAAAGATAGAAATGTTAAACTTTAAAGCAAATGGTTAAGGGGATAGTAGCTTCTTAGTGTAATTATCAAAATTATGACCCCAAACTTCGATCACTGACTAGAGAACATGTGGAACATGTGAAAAACATATACAACTAAAAAATATTAGATTTAAAGTACACTTGTCTGCCCTTATTTTAAAACCAAAAAAAATGAAACAAAAACTCAGGAATAAACACTCTTTAGGAAAAAAGATCCTTAGGGTAAATGCAAAATATAACTTAAATTGATTTTCTTCACTGGCTAAATAGTCCTGATTTTGTTTAAATTTAATTGACTGTTTTTATCAGATTAATTTGGAAATGTTGCAACGACTACTTACTGTGAATAATGCTGGTTGGGATATGATTTTCTAGAAAAACTGGTCAACACATCTTAAACATCAGTGTGAAAACAGATTCATGCTATCATGTTAGTAAAACGATGGATTACATATGTTCACATTGTCACATGAATCACACCTGTTTCAGTTTCCTGAAGAAATGCTGGATTGTAATCATGGGAAGGGGAAAACGTAAATAGTAACATGGAGTTTAGGGTGACGTTAGGCAAGAGTGACTTGCGAATGCCTAATTTCCATCCTTATGTAAATCGTTTTGGCCAGTGCCTGAGGATGCTGAGGCTAATCTGGGAAGTGGAAGGAAGTGGGAGGTCACTGGTCCATCAGCAACCTTTGTGGAAAGGACTAGACAACACCATTAGGAAAATGTGCCTCTCCAAAACTCAAGACACAAGTATTCATCTCGTGGAAATAACACCCTCTATTAACATGGGAGAATTAAAATGCTCAGGAAAATTGTACTCAAGTTGGAATATTGGTACAAATTGGCCAGAGCTAGTAAATCGACTGCCTGAAAGCAGTCTGAATCTCAAATGTCTTTTAAATACTTTGTAGGAAGTCTCAGAGAATTGCAGTTAATATGTGTATGTACATATGTGTATATATTCTCTGTGGGTGTTTCCTCAGTCCACTTTATCAATGCTCTAACAGCTTCAGTATAGTCCCCAAACTGTAAAATTATGTCATAATACATTGTGTTAAATTTGTATTTCAGTCAAGAAGAATTAGACACATATACATTTCAAGTATCCTCCTGACACTGGTGAAAGGATTTAAAGATAGCAAACTAGATTAAAATAGCTAAAAAGAGGCACAAGTCAAACACTGAGGCATACCTAGATCCATGAGGTGAATATTGATATGCTGGAAGCCAGTAATAAAGGTCATTTTCAGTGTGATTTCTTAAGTTTTGTTGGTAGATTCATTGAACCGATCATCCCCACCATCTTTTTTTCATTAAANAACACTGAGGCATACCTAGATCCATGAGGTGAATATTGATATGCTGGAAGCCAGTAATAAAGGTCATTTTCAGTGTGATTTCTTAAGTTTTGTTGGTAGATTCATTGAACCGATCATCCTCACCATCTTTTTTTCATTAAAACGCCAAAATATATTTCACTCTGCCACATTCTTAATTTTATCAAATTTTGTGTATGAACACCGATGCCCTCTTGCCTATTCCTTCTTTTTGTCTCCATCACTTAACTGAATCCCAAATTCCTGACTGAAGTATTCATTTTGTACTGGAACGTTGAGACCAAGCCTCCCATTGGTAGCATTTCCTTAACTCATCCAGAACATATCTTTTTTTTAAATATATGTGGCTTCAGATGGCCCTACCTGCCTGGCTACATTAATTTGTAGTAGGGAGAAAATTTCAGATTTCTGTAGGCACTCTGATTCCTCTCCAAGCACCGGGATTGACCTATATAACATTCATAGTACTTTCATCTACATCAAAATTTCTATAACTTTACGATCCCAGTGAAGTACAAAGCAGTTACAGAAATTTTATGTAGAGTAAAACTTTCAAGTATTTATATAGGTAAAATCCCATAAAGAGATGCTGCCTAAAAGATTTCCTCTGGTTTAGTTAATGTCTCTTTGAAATACACTGGCTTTGTTCAGGGCAGGGATATCTCCTGTATGGAGGTGTTGGTTGTAATGATATTTATTCAGATGGGGATTTTGCCAGAGGCTCTTAGAGGAGTAGAAATGGTAAACACGTGTCATTACCACAATGAAAACATATGCAATTCACAAATTAGTAGGAAAACACAATTTCTAAAGTTATATTGGTGGATTAGTATAGTATATAAATGAATATATTCTTATGTTAACACCAATCTAGTTATGAGTCAAAATCATAATTAGGGGATGTAAGGAAAATGAGAACTGGAGACATGTTGGCTGCCCATGTTTTCAAGTAATTTTTTTTCTTTAGTCATTTTCACCATTAACTATATGATGTCTTTTACTCTGCAAACTACTAGTAGACCTAGTCTGTTCTTTTTTCTTTCTTTTACCTTTTTAATCAGGGTATGGCATTTAATAATCTACTGTATCACATTTTTATTGATTGATATGTGTATGTGTCTATTTTGTTTCTTTACAAATATAAGCTCGTCAAGAGAAAATGTCACATTTTTGGTGGAAGTGAATACTGTGAGCCATGCCCATTACATTTAATTCTCACAGTAATTTTATGAAGTTGTTTTTATTCCCCACATTCACAGACATGGAAACCGAGTCTCAGAGAGGACGTATAATTTGACCAAAGTCATGTAGTCAGTAAATGGTTGAGCTGAGACTCCGATCCATGCTTTTACCACTCTTCTTTCCCTCCTACATGAGGTATTCTTCCCTCTCTGTGCCAGGTACAGGAAGACGCTGGGTTTCTTTTCCTCACATCACCTATAGCATTATATTCTACACAAAGAAAACAGTATTTCCCTTGCTGGGGGGAAACTTTTCTTGTCTCCATGGAGTGTCAATTTGTGTTATAAATGGAAGCATCAATATGTGAGCCAATTCTGAGTGGTATTTCTTATATGGAGTCACAGGAAGTGAGCTGACTCAGAAAAGGGAAACTCAGAATTAGGCCTCTGCTTTTCTCTAACTAGCTGTGTGACTTGGGGCAAGTCACTTACCATTTCTGGTCCCTAGTTTCTCACCTGTAGAATGAGGAAGAATGAAGCTCACTTAGGGCCACTTCACGTATACTTTTGCTTTAAATAAATTTGAGGAATTAATAAATATTATTGAGACTAATGATTATTTGAAGTACCCAAAGGAGGAAAGTACCCAAGGTCTATTAATTGCCTAATGTCCATCGGTAATTAATAAATTGCACCTATTGATATTTCTGTTCTCAGCCTAAATGTTTAGAGCTGGGGTGAATTTTTCATTCATTGGAACTTGAATAAAGGCATCATCTAAACTGAGAATAACCACAAGCCCAGTTATTTCTATTTGTAATTTGTTGTTAAGCATATTTATATTTATGTTCCTTTAATAACCATAGCAAGCACTAGTAGGAATAAAAAGTCACCCTGAAAAGGTAAATGAAAATTGATATCAACATTATATATCATCAATTCAGAGTTGTAGTTTTACTGTTTATTTTACAAATTTAGTAGATAAGCACAATCCCAGCAAAAATCAATGTCTTCTTGTTGTGTCTGCACTAAGTATCTGGGTATGTTTAACTTTACATATAACAAATATAATATCACATATGATTATATATATGTAACTACATGGACAGAAATCCTACAAAGTGATTATATGCTAAACATCCATAATGAAATTATAGAAATTTTATTGCAAGAGAGAACAGTGTTAAAAGGGTGTGAATGATAATACTAAATATTTATTTCCCTTTTACTACCATATTTTATCTCTTCTAAAATGCATATTTTTGGACATTTTAAACATCTCTGAAAGAAGGATGTATCTTATAATCAATAGTTTGTCATAATAAACTATTTGGAGCAATTTTTTATTGCTCAGTGATTTACAAAATACAGGTAGATCTTAAAATGAATGGTGTCTTAGATGTGATGAAATACAGTAAATCATAAATGCTATATTAAAGTAGGTCTGCCTTTAAAATATTTATGTCTGCAGAGACTTCTACCAAAATTGTGAAATTGATTTTTCAGTCAGTCATCACAGGCAATCATAATTGAGATGAGGGAAATTAAAGGGTTTTCAGTATTTAAGTCTTCTGTCTCCGTTTTCAATCTCTTCATCCCCAGCTAAGAAAATATGCAGACTCATAAAACATTTAAGAAGAAAATTTAAAAGCTTCAGCTAAAACCTTAATCAGATTAGTATGCGGTTGTTTCTCTGTCTCTTTCTTAGTCGACTCTGTTATATTCTATAAGCAAAACACATTTTAAGAAATAAAGAAATTCTTGGAAACACATCTACTTTAAACTTGACTTCTCTGAGTGGATATCTAAAAATTTCCAGGCCACAGCTCCTCACTCCATCACTTGGTTCTCACCTACGTTTCAGGAGACCACTAAAGTCAAGTTCCCCTGCATCCTCTTGACCTTCTCCACTGTCATTAACGAAAGAAAAGCAAATCTGGGTTTAGTGCTGAGACACATACACAATAGTTTTCCCCAAACACTCTACATATAACGTATATGCAATTTTGTACCAGCACACGAGTCCTGGGACTAAATCAACACAAACTATTTCTTTTCACACAAGTGACATTGAAAATTTTTGCAGTATGTACTTGTGGAAAAGTAAACATGAGGAGACACAGTTTTGAAGATTGCATATATAAAACGGCTTGGATTTGTGTTAAAATGGAGTAACACAAATGCAATGAAGCCAAACAACACAAAGTACTTTGTTTTTGCAAGTGGGGGTGATCTGGAAACATACCCGTGTAAAAAGCAAAGGACTTTTGCTGATCTCTGTCGCTCATGGCAAGCAGAGATCGGCTTGCAGGACAAAGTGTCCCAGTGTCAACTATATAAGTGCAAAGCTTATATTCAAAGGTAGCCTCTCTGTGACCATCAATAGATGAGTCAGGTAATGTGATACCGACATAACATAAGCATGGAGCTAGTGCAGAGCTTTTTAAAAGATGCTTTCCTGTCTGGCAGGGTGTGGCTCAGCGGTTGAGCATCGACCTAGGATCCAGGAGATTGCTGTTTGATTCCAGGTCGGAGCACATGCCCAGGTTGTGGGCTAGATCCCCAGTTGGGGGGTGTGCAGGAGGCAGCCGATCAATGACTCTCTCATCATTGATGTTTCTCTCTCTCTCCCTCTCCCTTCCTCTCTCTGAAATCAAAGACAATAAAAAAAAAATTAAAAATAAATAAAAGATGCATTCCTGTCAGTTTTAAAGGGAAATAATGATAAGCTTTTCATTTTCTTGTTAATAGTTACACCTTTTAAAATGGGTTTTTCAAAAATTTGCCTTTGAAATGTTGATGATCCTTCTACTAGGAATTTTTTAAAGTGCTTTCCTATAGAGAAATGCATCTTAAATTAGGCGTGTAGCCATCTTTGATTTCCTATAAACTCTAAATAGAAGCTATGGAGCTTACCCTTAAATGACACTACATATTTACTTACATGTTTAATTTTTTAATGAAGATGTTTCCTGCTCTTTACAAATGCTAGTTACGGTTTCTAGGGAAAGAGTCTGGGTTTAAAAACAGTGTGTATAATACATAAGTTATACTAATTGAAGTCCAAAAAAGTGTTTTCAAAATTCTTTAATAGTAGGTATTTGGAGAATTTTATATACTTTGAAATAAACACATTTCTATTCCTTTAAAGCACGAAATTTGATAAATTATGTCTCCCTCTCCTAAAATATACTTGTACATGGTATGAGCATAGTGTCGGACCTCTGCATTTGCTGGACGTGAGTAGGTGGAAGGAAACCAACAGGATTTGAAACTTATGACTTAAAAGAAAAAAAAGTCAATTGACTGATCGGGTTATATTAAGTATCTTTTTAAAGTAATTAAAATGTTCATATATTTATAATTTAGGAGGGAAACATGCCTTTTATTAGCAGACTAATCATTGTTTTATAATAGTTTGGGATGACTTTCCTTATTCCACAAAACTGTATGCACATTCAGTTGTATGAAGAAGAAAACATTTGCTCTCATTAAGGAATTTATGTTATGGAAACATTAAGTACAGAGAGTTAAAAATGGCAGGGAAGGGCTAGTTATACTTCTCATAGACTAGAAAAGTGTTTTCATTTTTCTTCCTTGACCCCCTGATTTTTTTGGCCTTGGCAGATGCAAAATAAATCAAGTAGGTATTTATATTTAACTTTTTACCGTGATTTTTGTTCCATCAGACTCAGTGGTCTTTTATTTAGGATAATCCAATATTTAAATAGTGCTAACTTCAGTACGTAGCTACTTAATTGTGGTTTTCTGGGCACACGGTTTAATAGCTCCATAAGTGATTTCTAGATTAAAAGCAGTACAAATTTTCTGACATTACTTAACTGGTTTTATGTAAGATGTGTATCTTTACATATTTATCCTTTTTGGCCCTTTGGTGGGAAATAATGCAGTTGAGGAAGAAGGCACATATGGATAGGTTGAAAGTGTGTTTTTATAAGGCATCTGTGAAACCTGCCAAAATGGGAGCTTCCCTATAACAAGAATATTCTTAAGAATCATCAGTAAGCTGTGGCTGGGGGGTTCAGTTGGTTGGAGCATTGTCCCGTACAGTGAAGGGTCAAGGGTTAGATTCCTGGTTGGGGCACATACCTAAGTTGTGGGTTCAGTCCCCAGATGGGATGCATACAAGAGGCAACTAACTGATCGATGTTTCTCTCTCCCTCTCACTCTCCCTTCCTCTCTCTAAAATCAATAAATGTGTCCTTGGGTGAGGATTTTTAAAAAAGCATGATCAGTATATACTTGATTTGGCCTTAAGCCCATGACTTTTCTAGAACACTAACTCCTGAATATATGGTATGTTTAACTACAGTGGAAAAAGTTGTTCTCATTTGGAGTTATAGAGGGTACAGGAAGAGAAAGTGTGTTTTGAGAATCCTCCACATTCATGTTGTACAAAAGGTATGTAGAGTCCCCTTTCAAAGTTACCTTCTCTTGAAAGCAGATCTGATGTCAATGTTTGGAGTACTCCCGGTAGATTCTTTGAAAGGAAAGAAAACAATAAACACCATTAAGAAGGCAGCTTTGTGCTCAGTTCCTTTCTCGGCTGTGGGGAGTCTCCAGAAGGCAGGCAGGCCAGGTGAAGGGAGGATGGCTGCCCCCCGGGATGGCTGAGCTGCTGAGATACCATCACTTATCTTCCCTCACACAGAATCAAGGAAAGGACTTCAGGAGTTACCACAGCCCACTGTCATTCCACCTGCCTGCCCATTGGAATCACTTGAAGAGCTTAAAAAGAATACCAGCTTCTCAATCTCCCTGCTGGAGATTTTGATTCACCAGATCAGAGATGGGCACGCAGAAATCAAAATTCTTAAAAATCCCTCAGGTGATTCTTAGGGATGCCTGGCCAGGTTGAAGAAGCACCGCTCAGGACCCGATTCCCACTTAACACGGAGGTCTCAGCAGCACCTCCACCCACGATCGTGCAGCCTCTGCTCGACATCTCTCGGAATGGGCATCTCACTACCTTCTCTTGTGTCTACAGAGCTTTAATGAAAGAGCTCAATCTAATGTTAAGACAAAATTCACCTCATAATGTCCACCTTTAGATTCTAATCTGCCTAAACACTCCCCGAGCACAAGGAAAATGGCCTTGTCCTTCGGTGCAATGGCCCTTCCTCGTTTACAATGAGTTGTATATGCCACCTCCACCCACGCCGCACAGGGCATAGTTTCTGGATTCTCCACCCTCCTGGCTCCTACTCTACTCCAGGAGGGATCCTGGTGGGTGTAGTGCCCATGGCCCAAGACATTACTCCAGATGCGGAACAGCTAGCATGTTGCGGACAGTGATGTCATTTTCTAAACCTAGATTCTATGCCACTTCGAATGGCCCAGTTTTAAATTGTGCCAGCTTTGTCTTTTGTAGCTACATTACACTTTGGATTCATGTTAAGTTTATGATCTTTACTGCCAAGTCAAGTTTCCCTTTGTATACTTAGAGAAGCCCCCCCCCCCC